AAGAGACCCCTCAGAGAAACACATTTAACCATGGTTTGTGCTTAGCATCTCAGCTCCCAGGACACAGTGGCTCCTGCAGAGTATGTGCCAAGCGGGGCAACTCCGGAGATCAGACGGACAACACCAGCAACACAAGACAACAACTTGGAAAAATCAGAGACTATGATTATGGGAAAAGAAAAAAAAATCTTTTTATTTTATAGGCATTCTAGCAAAAGTCACCTTCAATGTGAGTACTAGACCACAGAATTTTCAACTTGAAATTTAGAAACCATGAAGTCCAATCTCAATTGCACATGTGACACATGGAAAACAGACCAAGAGCAGCTGGGGATAAAGCTCAGTGGCACAGTGCCTATCTGGCAATCATGAGGTCCTGAATTTGATTCCCAGTACCAAAAAAAAAAAAAAAAAAAAAAGAAAGAAAATAGACCAAGAAAGCCAAAGAAATTTGCTCAGGCTATGCACTGAGTCAGTCAGTGACAGTATTAGGACTAAGCCAGGCTGTTGACTCCTGGCCAGTGCTCATTCCACTATGCCCCTGATGCCCAGCCATACGTGAGGTCCAGAGGAGACTGCAGCAGCTTCCCACACAGGAGGCTGGTCAGAGTTCAGGTGTTCTACCTCCTGTTCATACTCTCCCATTCATCTGCCCTGTGGTGAGCGTCAGACTCCATCATGAAAAACCTGTGCTTCTGACAGGGACTGGGGGTACTTGCAGGCACTGCCTCCATCAGCTCAAAGGTATCTTGGTGCCTTTCAGTCCATTCCTTTGCCTGCAGACTGGATTAAACCCAAGCACCCTCAAAATAACGAGAAGTGACTGAGCAATTGACCCAAAAAAGGTATTCATGTACCAGCTTGGATAAATGTTCACATTAGCATAATACCTAATAGGGCCAAAAAGTGAAAACAGCCAGGTGTAGTAGTGCATGCCTGAGATCTCAGCACTCAGAAGGCCCAGGCAGCAGGATTGCTGTGAGTTCAAGGTCATCCTGGGCTACAAAATGAGTACATGGCCAGCCTGAACTACATAGTGAAACCCTGTCTCAAAAAGACCCAAAAAGGGGGGCGGGGGGAGGAATAATCCCAACGTCCATCAACTGATGAATTGACGAACTGTGGTCTAACCATGCTGTGGAATATTACTTAGCCATAAAAAGGAATGAAGTACTGATATATGCTACAACATAGATAAACTTTAAAAACATTAAAGTAAAAGAAACCAGGCACAGAAGACTATATATTGTATTCTCTTTATATACAAGGTCCAAAAAAGGCAAATCCACAGAGACAGAAAGTAAATTAACATTGCCATGGGTGGGAAGAGGACAACAGGAGTGACTGCTAATGTTTCTTTTTGGGGTGATAAAAATGCCCTGAAATTAGTAATAGTAGTTGTCCAACCATCTAAATTTACTAAAATATAAAATTGTGTATTTTAAAGGGTAAGTTTTACAGTATGAATTATAATCATTAAAAAAATTGTAACAAGAACCAAAACAGTGTGAAAGATATATATGAGAGTACAGTTTATTCTCTAAACTGAAATTTCTAGACTTATGGACTCAATATACATTTTTCAGGTCCCATCAAAAAACAGGAACATTCTCAAAGCAGTTTCTCATAAAGAGTAAGATATGAGCCTACTTCTCAATTCAGACCCAGCCAGATCAAACCTATATCCTGTAACTTTATACCATAATCTAAACAGTCCAAGGCAGGAAGAAGACAAAAAAAAGAAAGAAAGAAAGAAAGAACTTCAGTTTACACCAGTTACTATCTCCTCCCGAAGTCTTGCCCTGCAGGTTCAGGAAATATGCACTGCGCTAACCAGACCTGCAAGGGAGCAGCCCAGCCCTTGGGGAAGAGCCATTCACCAAGTTAACAGAGAGAAGGAAAAGCCCTTGAAATGTGTACTCACAACCCTAACTTTCAAAACAAAAGAAAAAACCAAAACCCCAGCCTTTTCCCATGGCCACTGAATTCATTAGTTTAGTTCCTCTTCGGTTGTATGACTTGCCTCAGAAACACATACGCCCTAAGTTAGATCTACACACCCCACCCCTACAGTTGTGAAATAATCTAGGTATATGAGGGTATGGGGACCACTGTGACTTCCGTGTAATAAAGTGCTTGGCACAGACCAAACTCCCATCTGTGACTCCACATTGCCTTTTACACATATATTCTATTCAATTTGCTTCCCTGCTTTTTCACTATTGCACCACACATGCAGCTGCTCATAACCAGGCTTTTAACTGGCTTCTGCACACACCACACGGTACATAGCACATTTTTTTTTTTTTTTTGAGACAGGGTCTCACTATGTAACCCAGGCTAGCCTCAAACTCATGATCCTCCTTTCTTAGTCTCCAGAGTACTAGGATTACAGGTGTGTGCCACCATGCAAGACTTCACATACTCTCTTGAAATCAGTTACCGTTTTTAGCATGGTACAATATCCCTAAGTCGCACGATACACACTCACTGTGCTTTCTAGTGCGCTGAGAATAAAATCCACACCCCTTTCAACAGACTGTCTGGAGTATAACAAGCAGGCTCTCCAAATGGAGTGCTGGAGGGGAATAGAAGCCACGCAGTCAAACAGAACAACCTAGTAGGTATTTCAAAATGCAGTCCACAGATTACAAACTACACCACAAACCTAGTCACGCTTCTAAAAACATAGTTGCTCTTGGCCCCTCTTCAATTTCATCTTGTATCAGTCATTCTCTTACAAGGCCCCCAACTCCCACCATGCTTTAGCCCCTCTAGTCTTCTGCAGTGTTCCCCAAATGTATCAGGCTTTCTGCTATCTTGACCTTCACAATTTTCCATTTCCTCTGCCCATAACACTCTTTGCATGGCTGGCTCTTTCTTGTCAACCAAGTCTCAGCTCATTATCACTTTCTCTGAGACTTCTCTGACCACTCAATCTCAAATACAGTAGATGTGTCAGCCAGTCATGCTGATTCACAATAATTTTACCTGGCCATTATGCTTCACACTGGCATTATCTTATTCATATATTACTTGTTCACTACCTTTCTTCTCAGACTAGAAAAGCTCCACAAAGCTAGAGACCTGGACCCTAAATTACAACTACACCTCCAATTCCTCTAAAAGAGTAGGTACTCAAAAATTTGCTGATTAGTTGGGGTGTGGTGATGCATGCCTGTAATCCTAGCACTCAGGAGGCTGAGCCAGGAGGGTTGCTGTGAGTTTGCTGCCAGGTTGGGCATACAGTGAGTTCAAGCCTAGTCTGCACTACACAATAAGACTTTTGTTTCAAAACACAAAAAATTTAAAAAGTTTTTGCTATTTAAATAAATGTGTAGCAGGAATATGTATTGGCAGCTTAATAACCTTTTAAAAACTTCTGAAGAGGGCAAGAATTTCCCAGGGTGATGCTATGCAACATTATTGAACCTTTTCCCCTATGGCAAAAGGGTGTGACTTCCTCTTAAATTCTTACACCATTCCTGTTCTAAATGTGGTAAAGGAAAAAAATGGGTTTCAACATATTATTTTGGAGTTTTGCCCCACTCATGGTTCAGAATAAAGTCTGAGACTGTACAACTCAGGTACAGTAAAGCTGTAAATTTTTAAAAAGGGGTTTTTTTGGTTCTGGTATTGGGGATCACATCCAAGACCTCATGCATGCTCTACCACTGAGCTACCCCCCTAGTCCCAGACTACGAAATCTTTCTTCATTAAACAAAGATATGTCAACAGTCAGTTGACACAAGGAGAAAAGCCATTATCTGTCAATAATCAACCCGTTTGTAGAAAACAAATACCAAAGACTCTAAGCAAGACACTTCCCTTGCTTAGGTTCAAATGTCACATCCTTTTCTGTGTCTTCCTCATCACCCACTCCTAGGATAAAATTATCTGCTGAGGAAGCAATTCTCAGGAAGACTCAGGAAATCTCTCTGGACTAAATGACTGCAATTTTAGTTACGGTCTACCAACAAGCAGAATGCTAGCTGAACTTCTGGAAAAAAGGACAGTCCTTTAAAGATTTATTTCCACGGCTTTGTACCAGAAGCCAGAAGGCTCTGACCCACCCTCTAAGCACAGGTCTTTTACTTTCATCTTTATCCACGCACACTTCAATCCTAAGGAGCCTCATCATAATGACCCTTCATCCCTAAGGGGCTGTGTGGCCCTGTGGGAGCCAGGAAGGCATAGAAGCGTTTTTCAAAATGTAGTTCACCGACCACCTCCCTCATAATCACCGGACTGCTTAAAAAAATGTACACTCCTAGCTAGGCATTGCCCAGCGCTACCTAAGTTATAATCTTTGGGAGAGGTTCAAGAAATGGCACTTTATCATGCCTCCCCACGACCCTTTAAGATTCTTTATGCACAGTAAAGTTTGAGAATCAATGGGATAAAAAAAAACCCTAGGAGATAGGCAAGGAATTGGAGAAAAAAGGGAGTAGGAAAGGATCTGGGGGTAGAAGACAGGGTGGGCATACTCTGGGATAGCAGCAATCCAGAGGGGTGTGCGATGGGGACCGGAAAGGGTGGCGATGACAGGGCTTGGGTTAGGAGGCTGGTCAGAGGTGAGGTCGCCTCCAAGCAGTGGTCAGAATGGTGGGGAGGCGGGGAGAGCAGGGTCTGGACGTGAAGAGGAGGAGCGAGGGTAGTAAGAATTGGGGTAGGGTGTTCTTTGGAGGAGTTAGGGCTGGGAGGTGAGAACTAGGGAAATGGAGCTACAGGAGGCGGGGACCGAAGTAGGAATAGGAACCCGCGGAGCCAGTGGCCGAGGTCTTCCTCCGAAACGGCGCCCCTTCTGAAACTCCTGGCCTTGACAAACCTGACCGAGTACGAGGCTAGGAAGAGGATTTGGGGGGAGTCGAGCCAAGTGAGGGGTATACTGAGGAGGGGTCCTGGAGGTGGCTGGGGACCAGGCAAGGGGCACCGGAAGGTCCTGGGATAGCCAGGTGGGCCCTGCTCCAGCTCCGGCTCCCAGAGTCTCCTTCACTCACCATCGCCGCCGCCATCTTGGATCCACGTGTCGCCGTGATGACGTCAGCGGAAGTGGTGCTTCCTTGGTTACAGACTAACTCAGAGGTAGTCGCCCAGCTGCAATCGCTCATGTAACCGCAGTCATCAGAGAGGCGAAGGTGATTTAACTTGTTCTGGACACCTTGGGCTAGATAATCTGATCGCGGATTAGGCGAAGAGAGAGGACAGTGAAACTACTGGAACCATATTAGCTCCTGGCAGAGAGCGCAACTCCCTTACTCCCTCTGCCCTCTGGGTAATGGGGGAGTGTGAAACACGCTTGCTCTCTGGGCGCCATCTTTACTATTGGCAGAACGTCTCGTTGCCAGGGTTACCTAGGACCTTGCTACTCAGCACCGTGGTTGGCACCTGGGCTCCTACAGCAGCAAGACTCTAAGAATAATTTGTATTATATATTTACCTGGCTATCCTATATCCTTTCTAATGTAGTCCCTGGATCCTGCCTTTTATTTTACCTGTTCTGCCACATTGTCATCTGTAAAATTGGGAAGGGATTATTATATTACCTACATCATAGATTTATGATGAGGATCCAATGACATAATATTACATAGGTTATATTAACAAACAATTATTATGTGCTTATATATACACTCAGGCACAAAACATTATTATATGAATCAATGAAAAGCAGCATACTTAGTGAAGGGAGACATCTTTGAATGTAGCCTTCACTATACTAAACAGCTAAGTGTATCACTTGAGGCAAATCACTCAAACTTTCTAAGCTTCAGTGTCCAATATTAGTAAGAACAGACTCAGACAATGGTATGTAGATTGGGAAAGACCTTAAAGTTCCTTTGGTCCATGTATATCACTGTAAACTGGATACCAGTGCTCTCTTCTCAGACTGTTTAAAAAATTGTTAAAATAATAATCATGGTTAATGATGATAATGGTCAGCACTTACTAAACATTTGCTGTGTGCTGTACCACTTTGGATTATGTTAAAATGGTTGTTAAAGGTTTTAGTTCTCTAATTCTATCTTTTGGCAGTGGACAGTTGAATTCTAATACTCACACCTGAACTCTACTGTGGTAGATTTTTCTGCAGAGATAACTACCAACAAGCCCTCTCCTCCTTGGTTGAGCATACTGTTTCTCCTGCCAAGAGGTAGACTATTCTCCTTTTGAGTATGGTGGGACAGATCATTTTCTTTGACTAAGAAATGTAGCCCAAGTTTTTGGTGTAAACCTTAAGGGGCTCGGCAGCTTACGCCTCCACCCTCTAAGGTGTAATGAAATCTGGCTCCCCTACTACAGAGCCCTATGGAGAGGCACTGAGATCCAGTCAATGCTCCAAGACATTCTAGAAACTCCAGCTGAGCACTACATATCAATGATATCATCTTGGACATTCCAACCCCAGCTATCAACTGAGTAGAGCTACAGGAATAACCTCACCAACGTTATGTGGAAAAAAATCTTCCCAGTTGAGCCTAGTTGTTTTAAGTTTGGGAATGGTTTATTATACAGTAGTAAGTCACTGAAACATACCAATAAACCTTTTTTTTTTTTTGGAGACAGTGTCTTGCTATGTATTCCAGGCTGGCCTTAAACTCATTGTGTAGCCCAGCTGGCCACTAACATGTGGCAATCCTCCTGCCTTAGTCTCCTGAGTGCTGGGATTACAGGCATGCACCACTACGGCCAGTGATACGCATGAATGCTTATGACCTGCACAACCATCCTAAAGAGTAGCAGGTCAGATGTTGTCCCCAAAGGAGAAGAAGCTTGAATGACAGGAAAGATTTGCCAGTCTCACATTGAAAGCCAGATTCCAGATTTATAACTAGTTCTGGTGGAAGTTGGGTGCTGGATGTATCTTACCATTTCTGGGTGCTTGAGAGAAATGACTAATAAAGACAAAAGCTTCATGAGTTGCATATTATTCCTCAATACTTCCATTTTTCCTTCTCATGTTTCATATTTTCCCCAATGAGCTTCCATGTCCTGGTGTCCATCTGACATACACCAGAACCCTGGAGCTAAAGTGGCTTTTTTCTTTTCTTTCCTTTCCTTTCCTTTCCTTTTCTTTCTTTCTTTCTTTTTTTTTTTTTTTTTTTTTTGAGACAAGTTTTCTCATACAGTTCATGCTAGCCTTAAACTCTGTAGCACAGGCTGGCCTTGAACTCACAGTGATCCTCCTGCCTTAGCCTCCCAAGTGATGGGATTACAGACATGCACCACCATGCCTGGCCAGCATGTTTCTTTCATACTTTTTTTTTTATTGTGGAAAATGTATACTTACCACTTTAATCATTTTTAAATGCATGATAGAAACACTGTTAAATGGTGAGCTACTCCTCATTTCTCCCCAGCTCTGTGCTCAGCAGCATTGGATTTGCAGCTGGGCCAGCTTATCCATGAGGATCCGAGACAGAGTGCACAAGAACCTCTCCTCATACGTGCTGCCCACATAATATTTCAGGAAATTAATTTTTTCTCCTCCTTCTAGTGCTAGGGATTGAATTCATGCTAGGCAAATGCTCTTCTACTGAGCTACACTCTCAGCTCCCAATTTCTTTTAAGATCAGAAATAAAAAATTAACTTTTAGGTTGAAGAAAATGTTTTAATATATAATAATATATTCATTTTTATATCAATGAACTGTAACTATGATCTATATTTAATATATATTTGTAAGTATGTCTTACTTATAAACATAAAATTTTATATATGTTTATGTTTGTATTATGGAAGAAGAGTTCTCTAGAGCAAAAGTGCCTAAAACACATGAAGGTCATAATGTAGCTCTGCTTGGTAACTTGAAATTGACCATGATGGGAATGTTTAAAAAAATCAGCAAATGTTGCAAATCAGGGCTTTGTTAACAAGATTTTCCTAGAAAGAGGCTGGTAAATAGTTTAGATATAGTAAATAGTTTAGACTTGCTGCCCATATGATTGTGTCTCTACTGTAACAGAAAATGACCTTCCTAGCCAGTATACTTCAGTTTCTTAGTTGCCCAGGTAATAGTTCCTGTTTCAGTTCCAGTTGCTTTTGTCTTCTAGAAACAGTGGATCACTGTGATGCATAGCTGCTCACTATGATGCACATTGTATAAGCCAGTCCACAATTGAAAAGCCATTCTGCCTCTGTACTTCCTGCTTGCTTATCTCATATAAGGCCTAGACCACCAGAGATCAGGGCCTGATATTCTGGGAATGATCCTGATCAGTGCCTATTGACCTAGACAAATCTGTCTCCAAATTCTGGGTGTAGTTTCAGTATTTCTGCTTGCCATTGCATCTGGTGTGTTGGCCAGGAAGACCAAGTGTACTGACCTCTTTGGTCACAGATCATTTCATTTGTGGACAGAGCAAGGATCTCTCCAGGTCCCAACAGGAAGGTGTGCCTGCAAGATTTCTCGAGTCCCCTTGGAGGTCTGGAGGAGGATTTCTGGCTCCTTGCTCAAGTGGCTCATATCAGACCCCAAAGGGAGGAGGATGCAATCTGTCTGTGTCTATCTGTCTGTCTGCCTGCCTGCCTGATTCTGGTAAGACCCCTGGGGGCACCCCAGTTAGTCAGTCTGTCAGACCTGCTCAATTCAAGCAGAAGAGCTTGATCAACTCTTGTTAGCTAAGGCCACCCTCAAGGTAAGTGCAGTTGGAATGTTTAACCTCTGAGTGCCTTATGAATGATTGTGTGAGTGAGTGGACTGGACAGAATAAGCAATAGGCTGTTTCATCTGTGCGCTGAGACTGGGAAGCACTGGTCATGCTGGCTGATTGGGCCCTTACCTGCAGTTCCATGACGATTGACATATAGCATAATGGAGGCCTCCCATCCTCCTTTGCTAAGTCATGCCTAAGTCCCCATGAGAGGCATGGCCAGGCAGGCATCTGAATGGTCTCTCTCTGAGAAGCACCCATCCTTTGTCTGTTGCACCATCATTTAAGGTTATAGAACACACACATAGGAAGTCAGAGATAGGAATTAATTAGTCAAAACCCACAGTCCCTGACTGCAGAAATAAGGGCTTTTGTGTAGTTAAAAATGAAACCAAACCACTCCCGGTATCTCAAAGAATGAAAAAGGAAAAAGAGGCCCATTCTTCCTGAGAATCCACCTTGGCATCCTCCTCAGCTGCCATAGTTGCTGCCAACACGTATAGCTTCACTCCCCACTCCCAACTCATCTCATTCCAACCAATTGAACTGGTTCCAGCTAGACATTGCCTGCATTCAGCCACAGAGGCGCACTCTCCAGAGCCTTCTGCTTACATGCCTATCCTGGTCAGATGGCATCATCTAATACCCACCGAGATGACTGTTAACAATTCCTTCTGAGTTCCACATTTTGACTGAGGAAAAATTGGACTGTCATCCCTGACAAAGAAGTTGCACCATTTGAGGGCTGAATAGATAGGACAAACAGAGCTCTATCAAATTGGGCCCCTAAGACAATGGAACAGAATTCTTGGCCTGGTAGACAATGGAACAGAATTCTTGGCCTTCAGAAGTTCCCTCTGTCAAAAAAAATTACCATCACTGGGGCAACTGGTACTCTTGCCTCTTACCCCTCCTGCCAGGCACAAACTTACAGCCTGGGAGCCATCAACCATGGCACCTCTCACTACAGCTCTTGTTGCTATCAGATATCCTAGAAAGCACAAACGGGCATCCAGCCACACATCAGCCTGATAGACTGTTAATCACCTTAGGCAAGATCAATTGACACATGGGTTAAGAACTCTCCCATTACTTTTGGGGAGGCTCCAACAACAGATTTGGCCAAGCCCCCAACACCTTTTCTCTGCGGGTTCTCTGTCCCTTCCAGCTCTGTCACAGTCCCCTGAGCAAACAGTATCTGCTAAACTGTATCTCTCTTGCCTGTAAAGTCAGTTCAAGGTCTCCGAGCTGCCAGTGCTGCCACAATTGCCCTCCATATATGTTGCCTCAGTCTTCTGCCAACCACAGCCTGCTGGTACACCTGCCTAGACCTAAAAAGTGCCACCTTCTGCCTTCAGTTGGCTCCTGTCAGCCAGCCCTTCCTCACCTTTAAATGGAAAGACCCCAATTCTGGACTCAAAAGCCAACTGACCTGGACTCAATCTCCCAGAGGTTCAAAACTTTTCATCTTTGAAAAAGCACTTCTGATTAATGATGCTCAAGTTGCTTGCTGGAAAGACACAAAACCTCTGCTATAACATCTGGCAGAAACTGGTTGCAAGAAAGAAACTCCACAAATTTCTTGGAGCTGCTGGCTTGTATAAAATCTGGATCCTTGAGTTCACAAAAACAATGATGCTTACTCAGACTGTCAGCCCCTGGGAGTGCCCAGTGACCTACCTGTGCAAATACATGGATCCAGTAGGTCTGCCTCCCCCTTTGCCTCCACATTCTAATAGCTACTGTCATTTTGAGTAAGAAAGCTGAGAAGCTCACCTTAGGCCAAGCCATAACTGTCCAGGTGCCATATGCTATGCTGGACCTCATCCAGTACTGAGGACTTGTATGCAAAAATCCCCACCCAACTCTTGTGTCAATAAAATCACTCAATCCTACCATGTACCTTCCCAGAGAACTGGGTGCAACTGACTATGACTCCTGGCACTGTCTGATAAACTGTTCTTGAGCTGATTAGACTTTTAAAAATGGACTTCCTGACAGATGCTGAGTATACCCTGTTTATGGATGGAAGTAGCTCTGCTAGGAATGAAGTCTGACAGGCTATACTGTCATCTTGGACAAAATTATTTTGGCTAAAACTGTCTTGCAGGGATGATCTACTACATCTTGCTGCTGTTTAGAAACCTGCCACCAGCAACACAAAATAATCTGGCCCAGAGGCCTAAGCCCCCTCTAGGGGTCCATTTGAAACATCAACCCCAGCCACAAGACCTATCCTCACCATATGTTCTACAAGCTCAAGTTGCTGCACTGGCACCCATACCCCTGAAACCAGTTCAGGATTCGGTGTCTGTGTCACTGGCCCTGACCTCCTATTCCCTACCCATACTGAAAAGACAATAAAAGTTTGTAGGATCCTGCTATAAAAAATCATCTCTAGCTATGGCCTACCCTTGATCATTGGCAGTGACAACACCTGCATTTGTAACAGAGGTAACTCAAGAATTAGATTAAATAAAACCTACATATAGCATACAGGCCACAAAGCTCTAGAAAGGTTTTTTTTGTTTTTTGTTTTTTTTTTTAAAGCTAGCCTGTAACCAGTTAAAAGATCAGCTATATCTGTAGATGTTCACATGCATATAACCCAGGTACATATTAACTACCTCTACAAGTTTCAGAAATCCAGCCTTAGACCTGCTGAAAAATTTACCTAGATGAGACAGCTCACTCTGAAGAGACGATGCATTTAAAGCCTTGCTCTGGTCACTCTGGACACTGACCAGTCCATGCACAGCTGAAACCTGAGGATATAGTTCATAGGATTACTCCCCTTGATTGTTGTGTCTTTTCAGGTTGCTTACCCCAGTCCTTGCTTCCCTGCCCTCTGCTAGCTGTGTTTTTTGCCTTAAACTCTATTGATGGTTGCCCCAAGAAAACAGAACAATCAATCAAACACCTGACCAAGATTTGATGAGCATCTAAGGCATACTGGATACCCTCCTAGATCAGATTAACTCCCTTACTACCTTGCCAGAGTAACGTTACTGTTTCTAGTTGGGCCTTCTCTCAAAGATCACATGTCATAAGCCAGCAAAGATTTGCTGGAGAAACTAAAAGGCGGGGAAAATGTAACAAAACACCCCCACCCCCAGTATACTTCAGTAGTTGCTCAGGTAATAGTTCCTGTTGCAGTTCTGGTTGCTCCTCTCTCTTAGAAACAGCTGGTCACTGTGATGCATAGCCCTAATTGATAAGCCATTCTGCCTCTGTACTTCCTGCTTGCTAATCTCATGTAAGCCTTAGACCACCAGAGATCAGGGCCTGATATTTTGGGAATGATCCTGATCAGTGCCTATTGACCTGGACAAATCTGCCTCCAAATCCTGGGTGTTGTTTCGGTGTTTCTGCTTGCTGTTGCATAACTCAACTCAGTCATTGAAGTGCTAAAGTAGCTGCAGACAACCTAAATAGTAGGTGTGGCTGATCCTAGTGCAATATAGGTTGCCAAATGCTCCTCTAGACTTAAAGTGATAGCCAAAACTGTTAGTATTGTAGATTCCATTTCACAATGTGTAGCTGTGAAATGTCTATAGCTGTTACATTGTGACTGGCACAAGAATATGACTATTTGAAATTCTTGCCCTATTCCACAAAGTTGCTAGTCACATTGATGGATGAGTCAAGTTTCCATGTAAAACTCCATTATTTCACTTTCATCTTATGGATACAAGTGAAACTGCTAACTATGTTCCTGTAGGAACTGCGCTTGGAAAGAGAATGTTGTCAAACAAGTTACCACGTGAGTAACCAAAGCTTAATCCTGTGGGGAAGTCTGGGAAAAGATGGAAGACACTTTGCCTCAGAGGTATCCCACCTGGGGGAAGGGAGCAAGAGTCATTAATTGAGGACTGCTCCCTGCGGGGTTAATGCTTTGGCACTTTCAGTCTCCCAGGAACACTGGCAGCTGAGACTTTTTACAGTTTTAGGAAAAAAAAAAAAACTCTCCAGCACAATGGCGCAGATAATGGCAGCACAAAGTCCAGCCTGTTCTAAGGGATCTGATTGATCCCTGACAGTGCATGTCACACCCTCTGAGAAAAAAACCTGGAGGAGGACTGGAAGCTTTTTGTGAGAGTCCAGTGTGGCAGCTGGAGCTCCAGCCTTCACATGTATGTTCTAGGAAATGAGGTAGAAGGGAAGAGATAAAAAAGAAGGGGTAAAGAACCTATATCAGTCATCTGTTAAGAAAGTTTCCTGGAAGCTGTTATAACACATTTCCACTTACAATCAGAGCTTAATTACATGGCTATATTTTGCTGCAAGAAAGAGTAGAGAGTGTAGCCCCCATTCTAGGTGGTCATGTGTCCTGAAGAATTCTATTTCTCTAGAAGAGAGGAAGTATGCTGCCATGGAGACAAGTGGTAGTCACTGCTACCCCCAAAAGGGCAGGAATGCAAAGAGAATGCAAACTGATAGAGCCTTCTGTCAGAATATACTGTGATGGAGAAAGACATGTGACAAAATTAAAGACAGGCAAGGGACTAAGGAGGCAGTTTTATCCCAAGTCATAGGGAAAGGTTAAAGAAATGCTTTCCCTACATTTAAACTCAACGCCATAACCAAGACTGGGTTGAAGCAGGTCATTTGTGCCTTAGAATAGATGGTCTTACTTTGCCTTCTTTTGCCATTCCCCAGGACAAGAGTACATGCCGACAGCTAACACAAAATATATCCTTCTGTGTTTTGCTTTTGGGGGTTTTTTTTGGTTAATTTTTTAAGAGAAGCATTGTGGTTTGACTCTGTTCCCCAAAGTTCATGTGCTGAAAACCTAATCTCCAACTCTCACTGCTGGTAGGAATATAAATGGTAATTTTTTAAAATATAAAAGAAGATGGTTGGGGCTGGGGATTTAGCTCAGTGGCACAGCACCTGCCTGGCAAGCGCGAGGTCATGAATTCGATTCCTGGTACCAGAAAAAAACCAAAGAAGATGGTTTTTTTGAAGGTGGGGGGAAGAAGGAAGAGAGAGAGAGAGACAGACAGACAGACAGACAGACAGCTATTCTGGATGAGTAGGGAGCATTCAAAAGTGAAATACTCTGCAAGTGGTAATTATGAATAAAGATTCTGTGAACACCTGTGTGCAGGATATTGTATGGATATAAATTTTCAACTCAGATGCATAAATACCAATGAGCACAGTTGCTGGATCACACGGTAAGGGTGTGTTTAGTCTTATAAGAAGCTGCCAACTGTCTTCTGTATCATTCTGCATTCCTGTCAGCAGTGAGAGTTCCTATTGCTCTACATCTTTGTCAGCATTTGGTGTCATCAGCATTTTTTGGATCTTAGTCATTTTAAGTGTGTCACTGTTGTTTCAATTTGCATTTCCCTAGTGACACAGAATGTGGAATACGTTCCATATGGTTTTTTGGTCTAGATATACTCTGTCTCCTTTGGTGAGGTGCTTTTTCAGATCCTTTGCCTGTTTTCATTTTTTTAAAAATTATTTTTATTACTTTAAGGAGAAAAAGAAGGATAACATAGTAATAGGGGATCTTACCAAATTACAGACAAAGTGGTAGGAAATTATCAATGGTTGTTGTTTTACATATTGTTATCTACAAGATAGTTTCTCAGGAAAAGAAATAGACAAATAATAGTGAGTTACAGACAAAAGTGGTAGGAGATTATCAATGGTTGTTATACTTTGGTATCTTCAAAATGGCTTCTAAAGAAAATAAATAGAGCTATACATGAGTGACCAATTGAATAATCATTGACTATTCTCAATGGTTGTTGTAGGAAACGCATAGTAATAAACATACTACTATTTATGAAATAGCATAGGAACAATACAACATTAC